ACTTGCCACCACATTGCGCGCGCAACACTCTGCTGCGGCGAATTTTGATGGTGCGACGAAAATTTTCATATTTGGCTTGATACACCACGAATATCTGAATCTCAGCTAAATTCTATCCGCTCCATCATCGACGGCTTTCAACCTTTTTTCTTCGTCAACCATTATCCTCTTTTTCCGGTCTCCGGACTGCTTCCGGACAATAAATCTCGTGGCAAACTCCGCCTACTTCGGTGCGTGCCCCGCCCACCAATAGCATTTGGCCCCCTTCCTTTCGCCGACCTCTACCCCTTTTTTCACCGGTCTCTGGGACCTCTTGGAACCATTAATTTTCCATGGAGTCTACAGAAGACGGTGGGCCGCTACAAGTATCTTTGAAGTATGCAATGCACGGTGAAGAGGCCAGAAGACAGGAAGGTACATGGGGCACAGTTCACTGCGACTAGGTATGGCGCAAGAATGCAATTGGCCTATACAGGGTGGGCAAAAATTACGGTAACAAGAGCGCTAACCAAACATCTCGATTTCCTTCGAACCTAATAAATGCACCTGGTTGAAGAGACCCCGGAGAGAAATCACTAGGACACAACAGCAAGGTAGACCGCTTGTGCACAAAGCAAATATTGTGCAACATTGGTTTTGCAGAATTTTCCGAATTCATGCCATTGAACGAGGGGCCAACCTTATTTTCCCGTTTAAAGCAAGTGGGTTATTTTCCGTGGAGTCTACTGAAGACGATGGGCTACTACGAGTATCACTAAAGCATCGACGAATTAAAGAAGATCCTAGGGTAAGCTCGATGTCACCTACCTACACAACAGGCCATATGCGTTCCCGAGATGACTTCATTCAGGTATAAACGCAAACAGCGGCCAGTCCAAGAAGTGATGTTGTATTCTGTCTTGGTGACCTTCCTATGAATACATTGTTGGGGTCCACGTGTGTCTTGCTGGCCGAATTGCTCTTTCCATGAACACTTTATCCTTGTTACCGTAATTTTTGCCCACCCTGTATAACATTCAAATAATAGCATCACATATGGAAAACGTTTCAGCTTGACTAGTGAGACGATCGACAGGTGGATAATTGTTCACTAATGTCCACGTAGGCTCTCTTCGCGGGATACCTCGGTATCTGCAGTCGCTTTCGGAGTTGTCAAAGTGGTTGTGGCCGTGGTGTCTTACTTTATTTCTGATACAGGTGCTGTAGTGAGAACGGTCCTCGCACGACAAAGTTGAATGAGTTGTCTAACAGGTCGCGTCGTTTCCATATATCTTTCACTTCTATTGCTTCTTTTCGGCGCTTGCTTCTTGATGGTCGACATTTTAGGCGTTCACGGTGAAGAGCTGTTTCACTGCAGCCTGGGATTGTGTGTGACAATGTTTTTATCTTGCAAGAATCTGTAGCGTTCCTTTTTAGTTTTTCGGTTACGTTCGAACTTGGCACAACATTGAATTGGGAAGTGCATATAAAGCTGTCCTTAGCTTTTGTAGAGCTGATTTTGCTTGTACCGGATATTGTGTATCCAAATATCGTGGGAGTCAGTATTAATCCAGATGGCAGAATCTTCACTGGTATGTCATAACGAACGACTTGGTTGAGTAGATCCTGCCCTATTATGATAGCAGGTGTAACTTCGGATGACTTCAGGGTCTGCTGAGCAATTGAGATATTGCATTCGCTGATGAATCTCTTGTCAGCGTATGAGAGCTCTGCAGTCCGTGTCGTTGTAGTCAATTTCTGCTTGGTATGAACCGATTGCCTCATCAATTTTTTGGAGCTATGGAGACCTTTCAGAGTTATTCTAACTTCTTCTGTGTTAAACGTCTCTCGTAGTTCTCCCATTCCTATAGTGGTTAGCTTTGTAGAACATAGTGTTGGGAGCTGTAAATGGCTTTTGGCCTCCGTTCTTATGAAACTTCGCTGCGCTCCTGAGTCGAGTAGGATATTGATTGGTTCATAGTCCATCTCAGCTTCACTGAAGATTAGTACAGATGCCACTTGCAACACGCACTGATCGGTTGTCACTTGTTCTGAGTCACTAACAGTGTTCTTAGGGAGAGCTGCACATTTTGTTTGTGATTTGTTTGCCTTCCATGCTTGGTTAGTGCCCTCTTGTGAAATGCGTGGTCCTTCTGGTCTTGAGCGGGAAGCTTGCTTCGAGAAGGAGACCGTTGATATCACATGTTGAGTTGAAGTTGGTGACGCGTTTTGTCGCCTGGCAATTGAATTCGTTGAGACACGTCTGCTTTCAGAAGCAGTGCACAGTGAAGAGTGGTGATCCTCATTGCACTTCGGGCACTGTCCCATTGAAGTGCAGAATTTTGATCCATGGCTTCTGTCAAAACATTTCCAGCACACTTTTTGACGTCTAGCTTCTGCCCGACGCTCCTCTGGTGATGCGAAGTTGTAGCACTGTTGTGCGGGATG